CACATTGTATGACACCGGATCTCTCTGTAAGACGGTCAGGCAGCTACTTCATAAAAAATGGTAAGAATTAACTGAGGTAAGATGGAATGGCGGAGTTCACGCTACTCCAGGAGTACAGCTGTGCTAACTGATAGCCTTGTGCTGGGCGCTCATGTCTTCACCCTGGCCTACTGCAGCCTGCAGATCCCTAGCTACCCCTCTCTCTCTTTCTCCCCACTCGGATCATCACCCATCAGGGCTGAGTCATCTCGCAGCCATATCTGCACGCGGCATTACCTCTTCTTCCCTCCCTGGCTGCACCCACATCCCTAAACACAACAGAAACCACCTGTGGATTCCCAATGCCTTCAAGATGTCCATATTCTTGAAGCTGGCATTGAAGTTTGGCTACAGTTTAGAACGACGTTATCCCCTCTCAGTGCCCTTTTCTCATCCGACACCCAGACTCTACTGCAGGCCACCTCATTACCTGAATGTTCCCACTTCGTACTAGGTCCTCTGCTCTGTACCTGTGCTCACCTTGTTCTCCTCGTGGACCCTGCTGATCCCTCCCCCACACTGGTATGCATCCCACCTTTTATTTGAGAGGTTCCTATTGTCCCCCTTACTACTGCTGCCTTTCTCCTCTGTGGGCCATTGCAGGTATCCCATCTGGTTCTGTCGCTGTCTGTTGTATATGTGGCAGGGAGTAGCTAGCAGAGATCCTAGAGAGTATGTTCAAAATGTGTAGCGATATATGTGCAAATATAAAAGCACACATTTCAGAAATATTATCCTCTAGAAGAACTTCCAATTTCAGTTCAACATAATTACAGATCAATTCCTTCCACATAATTTTGAAATGTCAATACGTGTCTGTGTGCATGTGTGCATGCATGTGTGTGTGTGTGTGTGTGCAAAATGCAAGCATGTATATATATGTCAGTGTTTTAGGACACTGCATTCACTAGTTTGATTTTCTAGACCCTCCAGTTAAGTCCGTTGTTTTTGCTCCTTGCTCCTTGGGTCGCTCAGCTGAGAAGTCCTCACCAACCACTTTGTTTGTTCAAGCTTCCAAAACAATAACAGAATTTAGGGAATGTGAGTAACCATTTTTCTCCCTCTAAGTTCTCCCCCAGACTCTCTCTACACAGTTTAATCTTGTAACAAGATATGCCAAGGGAAGTTGTCTTCCCAGAATTCCCTGTCAGTGGGGGGAGGGCACTCTGGCTATGTTGGCAATGAAGGCTTTTGGGGTAGGGGCCCTGTTTAAGCTCTGAGTATGCCTGTTTAGATTCTAGGAATTCCCGTAAAGAGTTATACCTACCTCTGTGCTTGGACAAACACCAAAAGATTATGCATTAGATCCACACACAAAATATTTAGGGATTCTGTCAGGATGAAACCTGGCCAATAGCCATGTGGTATGGTAGCACCTGAATAGTATTGAATTTGAAGCAATTAAAGAGTAACACCCTGAGTTTATGCACCTGAGGATGGCGTTAGTTAGTATTCACTGTTCTGCCTAGCAGGAAGAGCTTTTTAAGTCTGAACCCCGAGAAGCTAAAAACACTCACCTTGGAAGTTTCGGTCTCGTGGTTACTAATATTCTCAGAAGAAAGAACGTCTCAACCAACTCAAACGTTTACACTTGGAGCCTCTCAGATGAGACTTACGGGAGCATGCAATGCCATCTATCCTGAAGAGCCCCTGTAACCATGGGAGTAAACAAGCTTTGTGGTTAAGCACTTGAAAGATACGAAACTGGCATAATGTCCAGTTAACAATGGATTAGCAAACATCCTGACCTGCTAGACGCTGTCAGAAAGATCATGGAAGGGTTCTTTGCAAAGATAGTGCCGACTGCCTCCCAAGTGTGTATGAAAATGAGGAGAGGAGCTCACAAAATGCGGACTGTAAATGGAGCTTTTCTGTCCCAACCACCCAGTCCCAAAAACTGACTCAGGGGCTGTTTTTCAATTCAGGCACAATTCAGTTCAAGCAAGTTCTCTTCTTTGGCTATAGCTTTCCAATATTCAAATGAGTTTGTGAGGGCCAGCCATGATAATCTAAGTCTGGACAAAACGAGAGTTCTTTACTTCCTCCAACCATTATCACTTGGGACTCTGGCCATCGATAAATTTAAATGGAGTCTAGAGTCTCAATAGTTTACCCTGAGACAATGCCTGGCAGGCGTGGAGATTACCTGACCCCACCCAAGAACTGACCATTCAAAGGAAATTCCTGGCATTCCAAGCACTGTAAATAGAAACACCTGCCAGCACTTCACCAGGACACCCCTAAACAAATGTCAGCCAATCAGGGGTCCTGAACCTTAGAGATCCCTCACCCCCACCTTTACTACTATAAAAAACCCAATTCTAATTGAGCTTGGGGCTCTCCGGATATTCCAATATGTTGAACATGCAGAGAGACCGAGTTTGCAAACTTGATTAAAATAAAGACTTTTTGCTTTTACATATGGGACTTGGTCTCCTTTGTTGGCTTTTATGGGGACCCACGGATTTGGACATAAATTCAAAGGGAAGCCAAATGAAGCAATGAAGTTAAACCCTAAAACAGCACTTCACGCACCTCTGAGCTAGAGTTAACACTGAACTAGATTAAGAGTGAGCAGAAACTCAGGGAAATTCACAAGATTAGGAGAGGCAGGACGTTCATGCACTGGGGTGAGTGGAATTATGATGTCACTGGGTAGGCTTCAGTTGGTGCTCCCAAGAGTCCACTCAAGATCAAATTCATGGTCTCGGACTTTCAGCCATGGGTAGATTTAACTAGCGTGTGTTGACTGCAAAAGTGAGGTCCTACAAAGTATTGTTGGTATCCTCCCCTGAAGCTGCATCCTATGGCAACACTTGGCACACCTTCCTGAGACATCTTTTAGTAAACAGGATGCTCATACATGTTTCAGAACTCAGAAAGCCCATAGACCCAGAGCCCCTGTCCTTGTGGAAGCCTACTGTTCCTGTCCAAAACCACCTTCATGGCCTCTTTTTCTCCTGCCACCAGACACAAACCTCCTTGGAAATCACACATGAAGCCTGACACACTTCTTTCTTACTGAACAGTTATATCAGTTTATCTTTGAAATTCAAGAAAAACAGGGTAGTGTATTTTTAATCAGAGAAAAGCCCAGAGCTGAGTGGAAACTGCTTCCCAGGCTCAGGCCCGTTGGATGCAAAAGAGACCCACTTTTGAGGCAATCATCAGTTTCACAAAAGTGAATACACACCAGGGTCAACATCAGCCCGACTGGATAATCAATCAGTCAAGGGGGCCATGCAGATTGTATGGAATTTACATGATCTGCAGAACTGGTCATGGAAGAACAGAAGGTCACTGTATATTAACTGGATATATAGGACTCTGTTCAAGTGACTTTGACCACAAAGATGGCCATCTCGGTGGGGGGTGGGGAAGGAAAGGAATGAATGACTTTGACTAGTGAACTATGAGAGGGAAAATGTGGCAAGCCAAGCTGTCTTTAAGTCTTAAAAGATTTAAAATTTATTTATTTATCATTTAGGGTGTGTGGGTGTACGTGTGTACAGGTATGTGTGGAGGTCAGAGGTCCACTTGGGTTCGTTCCTAAAGAGCAGTCTAACCTTGTTTTCTGAGACAGGGTCTCTTACTAGCACCTGGCACTAGACCATTAGACTAAATTGGGTGAATGCAATCCCCAGAGATATGCCCTGCCGCCACCAGGGATTCCAAGCACGTGCCACTGTTAGGGATTAGGGATTGAACTCAAAATTGATTGCCAGTCAAATACTTAACCAACTAAGCTATCTCCTCCGTTCCCTGTATATATACATATTTAGCTTTTTTCCCCATCTAGTGTGTTTTTTAAAGCCCTGTTTCAGGTCAGGGGGTGACTCAGGGGGTAAAGTGTTTGCTGCACAGCCACAAGTTCCTGCTTTTGGACCTCAAGCACCTGAATGGAACCTGGGTATCTGCAGTGCATGGTTGTCATACTAGCACTTGTAAGAAGAGATAGGGAGATCTCAGGGGGCAGTCTAGCCCATCAGTTAGCTCTAGATGCTGCTTCAAAAAATAAGGTGGAAAGTAATTGAGGAAGACACTTAACATCAAGCTCTGACTTCCATGTGCAGATTGTTGCCCCTAAAGACAGACGGCCCAATGCTGCCCAGGAACTTGGTTTGGGTGACTATCAGGGCAGCCAGCTGTTTCCTGTAATCCCACGGTTTGGAAGTTGCCTGCTTGCACTTCCTGCTTACTGAGTTCCTATTATTTCCTTGATGGGTCTCTGAGGGAGTTAAGGATTTGATAGATATAGTTCTAGTTTTCCACACATGGAAAGCAAATTATTATACAAAGTTAATTAGGGAAAAGACTATGAACCCAAATAGATAGACTGGATGTGAAATCTTTTCTCTGAATTGGTCAAATGCAAATGGACTGGGTGCTATTGATGTATTTATTGCCTGTACATATTATATATAAGCATATTATTAATAGCCTTCTTTTTTCTTTAGACATAGTGACATTCAATAGTATTTTAATAAATAAAGATTACCTGAAGATCTGAGAGTAAAAGAGTCTCATGGATCAGCCCTAATGAGCAGATTTAGAAACACACACCTTTAATCCCAGTAGCCACACCCTAACACACACCCTAATCCCATTGGTGCATACCTTTAGACCCACCCCTAGAGGAGAATATAAAAAGGCTTGATGACCTCTCTTGAACACACATTCTCATTGTGAGAATCTTGGAGGTGGCGAGCTGGACTTGTCAGCACGGACTAGCACAAAGCAAAGGAAGGAGAGGGTGGGCCAGACAAGCAAAAATATCGGCGGACTGGATAGCCAAGCCGCCAGGAGTGAGCTTCGCATCATACCCTTTAGGCAAGCGCCAAACCCAAGCACCCACCAAATAAACCCGAGTGGTTCTTGTCAGCTCAAATTCAGCAAACCCGCCCGCAGCGGCAGCGAGAGGAGCCCTGAGGTCCATCTCCTTCGAGTCTCAGGATCTGAAGATGGGTGCACAGTCAGGGCGGGAAGTGGTGCTGAGAAGAACCAGCAACTTTACTCGAAATGAGCGCTTTACTAGTCTGCTGGAGAACAAACAGTCCACGCCAGCGACTATTCGGACTTCGCTGCAGCGGCAGCTGCAAGGCAGAGCCAGAAACAGAAGACTAGCCCAGCAGATGGAGAATAGACCCTTTGACCGGGCAGCATTCAAACTTAAGCATCGCCTGGGTAACAAGTGGAACATCCAGGCTCCCTTAGGCCTACCCAGAGGTGACCTGTCCAGGGGAGCAATTGGAGGGCGAGGCCTACCCAAGATCCAGGGAGGCCTTCGCCGAGGCCGAGGCCAAGGCCGAGGAAGAGGAAGAGGAAGAGGAAGAGGAAGAGGAAGAGGAAGAGGAAGAGGAGGACTACGTGGGGGACTTGCCACCAGAAGCCTGCCAAGGGGCGGGTTGTCATTCCAAGGTCGAAGCCCACTCCTCCGCGGTGAACAAGACTTTGCTGCCCCACGAATGGAATCAAGAGGTGGTGCTGTTCCAGGTCGTGGAGGTCCTGGGAGAAGGGGCCGCGGGCGTGCAGCTATGGGTCGTGGTGGAGTCGGTGGTAGAGGTCTGGCTGTGATAGGTCGGGGAAGAGGGAACTTTGGATGGCGTGGTCGAGGCAGAGGTGCCCGCACTCGCCCTGCATTGACCAAGGAGCAGCTGGACAAAGAACTGGATGCATACATGGCCAAAACTAAAGCACGCCTCGATGCTGACTTGGATGCCTACATGGCACAGAAAGATTCTGAAACTCATGACTGAAGCCTGCCCGCCTGCCCGCCTGCCTCTTAGACTCTCGGGAAGTCACTACAGCTGTGCCTATGAAGAAATAGCCTTGAGCACCCATGAGAAGGACTCTGACTGAGGCCGGAAGGACTCACACCATGGGTTGTGGACTCCCTTGCCACCAATGGGTGCCTTTCGTCTGTTCCGTTTACCTTTCGATGCTCTGTGAAATAAACCCCATTTTCCCTTGATTCGGCTGAGTTTGTTTTGTTGTTTATCCAATCACCCAGACTTGGGTTTAAGCATTAATTCCTTGGCCCTGTGAGGAGAACTTTTTTCCAGTCTCTGCCTCACCTGCTGTATAGGAGGTAGTTTAATATTCCTTCTAATCACCTTTATGATCCCAGAAAGAGTTCCCAGAAGCAGCCAGATTTCTCACTGATGTGAGCTCTCTGGGTTAGAGTTCTACACCTTCCTTAAAAGCTGTCTGCTCACAGCAAAACTGAAGGTGTGTGTGCTATGTTGAGGGTGAAGGTGGTAATTTGGAAATGTTTTTAGTGCTCCTGAGTCAGGAACGGCATACACATTGTAGCCACTTTGATTTAGTCTTTGACATTGCATAGGACATGCTGAGCCGGATGTGTAGAATTTCCACCCTAAAATAACATTTTTTAACTTATTTGGCCTTTCTGTCATTTCCAAGAGATTTTTTTCACATTTAGTGTGAGAGAATCCATTGGTGGTGGCCAAAGAGACTGGGCTAGGAGAAGCTTTACAACCTAACTGCTGGGAAAGAGTCCTAAGCTGCTCCTGATGACTTGCAGTTACCTATGTCCAGAACCAGTCTTGGTTCAATCTACATAAATCGCTTTTTTTTAACCTCTTGAAGGTTTAATTTTAACAATAATTTGTCAGCTGTTCCGTTTCAGTGGAACCCTTTTTATCTGGCTCGTTATAACAAACTGTTGTCTCATACAACAAATTTATCAGCACCCAATCATTAGGAAGTAGCCTAGAAAACTATGCACATTTTTCCCCTCCACCCAAAAATGGATTATGGATGTTGGTGTTTGTGTAATGTGTTAGTTACAATTTATTGTGGATAATGCTTAGGGAAAATCCAAGCAAAGCATATTTGGTTAGATCCAAAGTTTTTGTTTTGAAAAACAAAGCCTGGGCCTTCTTGTCAATCAATTTAATCCCTACACTTGGGAGGCAGAAGCAGGCAGGTCTTAATGAGTTCAAGGTCAGCCTGGTCTACAAAGCAAGTTCCCAGACAGGTTCTACTGTTACTCAGAAACCCTGGCTCAGAAACGCACAGTGGTGAAATAGAAGGAGACAGAGAGAGAGAGAGAGATAGAGACAGAGAGACAGAGAGACAGAGACAGAGAGAGATAAAGTGAAAAAAATAAAAAAAGATTATTGATCCAGTTTTAGCACCTATTTAAGTGTTTTGCATTGGTTTAGTATTGTATATTGGATACAAATTTTGTATATTGATACACACTTGGGGTCACTTTTAGTAAAACATGCTCTACATACATTTCCAATCTTGTCTGAGCTATTGTACCTCTACAGCTCATTTAATATAAATTAATATAAATTTCTAGACTTTGGAAAATATTATTATCAGTTAACAGTTTAGTATAATAAAGAATTATAGGTTAGTAGTTAATCACCTAGTACAATTGAGCTTATAGTCATACTAGGTATATTTTCATGGTTAAACAATGATATAAATTAGAAGGATAGGTAATTTTCAAACACTTCAGAGATCTACAGAATACGATTATTAAAATGTTTTAATAACCTTGGTTGTTCTCTGATGGTGGGAAGGTCATATGTCTATCTGTTGCTTTCATTGAATAATTAATAAAGAAACTGCTTGGCCTGAAAGGTCAGACATAGGTGGGTGGTGTAGAAAGAACAGAATGCTGGGAAGAAGGGAAGTGAGCCTGACGCCATGCCTCTCTGCTCCAGAGCAGGCGCCATGGAGCCAGGTCCGACATGCTGTATCTTTCCTGGTACGCCACCACATCGCGGTGCAACACAGATTATTAGAAATGGGTTAATCAAGATGTGAGATTAGGCAATAAGAGGCTAGAACTAACGGGCCAAGCAGTGTTTAAAAGAAAATAGTTTGTGAGTTGTTATTTCGGGGCTTAAGCTGGCCAGGCGGCTGGGAGCCAGGCGGCAGGATTGCGGCCCAGAGCTCCTTGTACACTTCTCTTTGTGACAATGAGACATGTCTGCTTCTTGCAGCTGCAATCTACTTCAGAGAAGATGATGGACATGGAGGAAACTCCACATGGAGTTTACTTTCTCTGAGGCAAAAATTAAGCCATCGGGCAAAAACTGTCCTTGTCTCAACTGCCCACATGACATTGTCCTAAAGACAAGCAGGGCACAGAAAATCCTCCTTCACAGAAAAGCCTGTCGAATATGCTAGGCCCGAAGGCTGAAGATGGATGCCCCGATGCTACCAGAAACACTGTTTGGGTTACTGTACGGGCAGACAGTTGTTTTCTGTCATTTCATGGATTGGAAGTCGCCTGCCTGCACCTCCTGCTTACTCAGTTCCTGTTATTTCCTTCTTGGGTCTCTGAGGGAGTTGAGGATTTGATAGCTATAGTTCTAATTTTTCAGACGCAGAAAGCAAATTATGATAGAAAGTCAATTAGCCAGAAGACTTTGAACCCAAATAGATAGGCTAGATGTGAAATATTTGTTCTCAATTTGTCAAATGGAAATTTCTAGACATTGTTTATATTTAATTCCTGTACATGTTGTATATAGTCTTTGTACTTATTGTATATAATTTTCTTATATTTGTTTTAGCCCTTTTTTAGACTAAGAGTGAATATGTGTTGACATTTCAATTTTTTTTAATAATTTAAGGTTACCTGAAGATCTTAGGGTAAAATAGTGCCACTGATCAGCCTTATAGACCAGCTTATGGTAACACACACCTTTAATCCCTGTGGTCAGTACAACACACACCTTTAATCCCTGTGGTGCATTCTCTTAATCCCAGTCTTAGAATGGATTATAAAATGGTGGAGACCTCTCTCAGACACTCAGTGTCAAAATGAGATTGTTTTTTAATGTTAGGTTGCCATTTCAGACTGAAGTATGTGTTTGAGCCAGTTGCTCTCTTTTGCATTTCGAATTTGAGGTTGAACCCCATTTTATGACCTTGAGTTTTTATTAATCTTGTTTCAAAGTATTGTGCATACAAGTGTTTTGCCTTTGTTTTTGCACCACATGCTTGCAGTTCCTGAGCAGGCCAGAAGAAGCAAGTCAGATTCCCTGAACTAAAAGTATAGACATTTCAACCAGTCGTGTAACTGGAATTCAACCCTGTGTCCTCTGTAAGAACAGCCAGTGCTCTTAACCCCTGAACCACCTTAGCCCCTAGGATCATTTTTCTTGTTGTTGTTGCTGCTATTTTGTTTTTAGTGAGCATAGTTTGCAGTTTTCAGAGTACAAATTTTATAATTTTTTGGTCTGACTCATCACTAAGTATTTTACTCGTTTGAATGCTTCTCTGAACTATCGTCTTAATTTCCTTTTCTGATCGTTAGAGTGTTGGAGGGCAGGGCGGTGGTTGCACGTGCCTTTAATCCCAGCACTTTGGAGGCAGAGGCAGGCAAATCCCTGTGAGTTCAAGTTCAGCCTGGACTATCAAGTGTGACACAGGACAAATGTAGCTACACAGAGAAAGCCTGTCTCCAAAAGGGGAAAAAAAAAGGTAAGAGTGAGAAAGACAGACTGCAATTTTTTAGAGGGAGACATCCTGTGTCCACCTCTGTCTTACATCTGCACTAACACATTTGTACATGTATGTACAGGCACCTTTACAAGCATTCCACAGGCATAAATTCATGCAAAAAAGAAAACACTGTGATGAATTAAACAAGCAGAACACATATACTATGTGATTCTGCTTACAAAACTTTCTGGAATCAGCAGATTCATACAGAGAGCACTAGGGTCTAGGAAGGCCTGGGGGAGGGTGGAATGGACAGTTACCGCTTTATGGATAGACAGTGTACTTGGGGTAGAGAAAAGGGGCTGTCAAAGGAAGTGGTGAGGACTGCACCATAGCATGAAATCAGTCTCAGCCAGTCATACATGTAGAATGATTAAAGAGAAAATTTATGTTTATGCATTTTACTACAACAACATTTAATGAGTACCGGAAAAGGAAAACAAAAGATTTAACAGCAGTAGGTCAGACGGGTTGCCACTGCTGTGAAGAAACACTTGGGAAATTAAAGGACAGAAATTGGATTTGGGCTTTGGTTGGGAGGTTCCAGTTCATGGTATCTTGGCTTCATTGTGTTTAGACATGTGGGTACACAGTGTTTTGGGGTACATCGTGATGGGACACACAGCGTATGTTGGAGGGGGAACACCTGGTAGAGCCTACCGCTTACCTCCTGAAGGCCTGGGCCCGAAGAGGAAGACCAACTAAGCGCACACTGGCAGACAGCATCTACTTGCTGGGTCATCTCACTGTATATTTCAATAAAGGACACAAGAGTCTCCACCTCCACCCTTTTGACTGCACATTAAATGGCCATGTGTGTTTTAATTTTTATCCTCTTGCAACTCTGTATTCACTGGGCTCTCTTTGCTCGGACGTGTTTGTTTTCATTGGCCCACCAGCAGCAAATTCCTGCAGTATTATAAGCATGCGGCATTGCTGCCGTTGGGTTAGCCAGCACCGTTCCATCTGCGAGGAAGGAGCCCCACAGTATTCTCTCATGAGTCACTCCGCTACGGGTGCCAAAACCAATCAAACCGGTGCCAAATGCAAGAAGTCACCAGAAGACTCTCGGCAATTTACAGTGTTTTTATAGGGAAGGGGAAATGGAGTGGGGAGGGGGTACATTTGCATAATTTTTCTTCTTTTTTTCTTGTCTGCTGGTGATCTTCATAAATTATAGTCATTATGGGACTGAAAAGGTAACTCAACAGGTAAGAGTGTATACTCTTCCGGCAAAAGACCTAGAACAGTCCCCGGCACCCAT